CCGACTATTTTAATTAATGCATCTGAAGAATTTATCTAGCTGGGTTTCAACTTCTAATCCCTCTGCTTGATGTCTTCTTCTTGACTAGCTCCACTCTTGTCGTACTATAAAAGCCAAATAAGAATTTATTCTATTTCTTGACAGCTTCTCCACCTGTTGGTGCTCCACCTCATCCAGAAAGCAATACTTGACATACTTGCATTACACAGAGCTCTGCTGAATGTACAGTATAAGCTGCTCTACAGTCCAACTTGTGATTTAGACTTTCGCATTCGGCTTGGATGGAGCTAGGATAGTTATGACATCAGGGATAAAACCAGGAATCCAGGGCTAATATCCCTGCTGTACACGAATTCTATAAATTATATAATTTCTACAAAGTTTAATTAATTCTTATTTTCCCTAACTATCTTTGTGCTAGTGAAAATTAAACCTAAAGACTAGTCTATGTGAAAAGAGAAAGAATATACAATTTAATGAGTGATGGGGCATTCAGGATTTAATATTGTCAGTTCAAAGCAAAACTTTATAGGACAATAGCCACAATATTACAATCAATAATCCACAATAATGCGATCAAACCAGTCAGTCCTAGAGGAGATCAACCCTGACTGCTCTTTAGAAGGCCAGATCCTGAAGATGAAACTCAAATACTTTGGCCACCTAATGAGAAGGAAGGATTCACTGGAGAAGAGCCTAATGCTGGAAAAGATTGAGGGCAAAAGAAGAAGGGTATGGTAGAGAACGAGGTGGCTGGATGGAGTCACTGAAGCAGTAGGCATGAATTTAAATTGATTCCAGAGGATGGTAGAGGACAGGAAGGCCTGGAGGAACATTGTCCATAGGGTCGCGATGGGTCGGACATGACTTTGCAACTAACAACAACAACATCCACAATATCAATTATTTTGACCAAGGTGGTATCTTACATTGTTTAAGATGGGAAAAAATCTCATTGTCAGGGAACATTAACCGTTACATAATGTATTGGATTTGATGTGAAATGTTGATGTTTGTGAAAATGCTTTCTCTTAAATAACTTTTCAAAGCAGCTCTTGCACCAGCATTAGAAGAGAAAGATGTAGAAAATGACTGCCGACTTTCCAGCTTTGGCTCGCATTTTTGATTCTCTGTGGCTTGCCTTTCTACATCACCCCTTGACTTTGTGGATGGAATTACTCATACAGCTATAGTGTATGGTGATTTATGTCCAAGCACAGTTTGCCTTAAATAACTTGGCATAACTTTAACACTACGCCTCATGAAATGAAAAAAATTATTTCCCCATCTGCCATCTCAAATCAAAAGCTCCACTCCAGATAATTGAAGGAGAGAAATCTGGACAAACTATCCTAGATACTGAGAATGGGACAATAGCTTTTTCCCCAAGTTCCACTGGATTAGGTAGAACGGTAGTTAACACCTGACATATTGCTATCCAGTAAAAACAAACAATGTGCTTGGAATACATGATAAAACTTGAGTTTGTTTCTAAACAGATGGGCGGTAAATTCACAAGCTTGGAAAGTAGTTTATCTTGAGTCCATGAAAACATTAAGGTTATTAAAATTCAAGCTCTCAGATTTGAAATATGGAAGCACTGGGAACAAAAAGTATTACCGTATTTTTCGGAGTATAAAACGCACCGGACTATAAGACGCACCTACGCACCGGACTGTAAGACGCACCTACCTTTTTTGGTGAGGAACAGAAGAAAAAGAAATCTGCCTCTGCCTCTGGGTAATTTTGCTTCGTTGCAGCAAACAGCAAACAGCCTGCTTTACTTTCATTTTCATTTTCATCATAGCTTGATTAGCACAAGGGGTAAAAAAATCTGCTCCAGCAATTTTCTTCCTTGCAGCAAGCAGCAGAGGCCTGCACAAGACAGCTGAGAGCAAAACAGCTGAGAGTCGGAAGGCCGATCCAATCAACTTGTGCTAATTAGGCTGTGCTGAAGCTGAAAGGAGCTGTTTTTTCTTGCTGTTTGCTGCAAGGATGTAACTTCTGGGAGGCAGAGGCCAAAGAGTGGGGGCCAGTGGGTGGATGGGGCTACATTTGGTGTATAAGATGCACCTAAATTTTCACTCCCTTTTAGGGGGGGAAAGGTGCGTCTTATACTCCAAAAACCATGGTAATTATTTCTCACAAAACCAGAATTATGGCCTTCGGAAAAAAGGAACCAGTTCATGATAAACTCATAAACTAAAATTTACAAACTGAATTATTTAATACTTTTCACCAAATCCTCAGAAGTAATTTAAAAATTAATTGTGGTGGAATGTATCCCAGAGTCAGCTGGTTCCCAAGGAGCAAAGAGACCACATAGCTTGGAATCTTTGATATGCAGAAAAAGGGCAAAGACGGACTCTCCTAGCACATCTCACATACAGTGGTTATGCAAATAAGACCTTTAGTCTGGCAAGATTTCTGTCCATAGATAAGCAGCAGTAAAGAAAGTATTCTGAAGTAACTCTTCATGTCATTCTTGGATCCTTGGGCCTGACATGAACTTACCTTTGGATGCTGAACAGCTGAAGCCTTTGTTAATTTACATGGAATCAGGAAAGCTCTTTGCCATTTGTTTTTAAAATTAAGATAATGGATCAGAGGTAGGTTTCAGCAGTTCTGACCAGTTCTGGAGAACCGGTAGCAGAAATTTTGAGTAGTTCGGAGAACCGGTAAATACCATCTCTGACTGGCCCCGCCCCCATCTATTCTCTGCCTCCTGAATCCCAGCTGATCGGGAGGAAATGGGGATTTTGCAGTAACCTTCCCCTGGAGTGGGGAGGGAATGAAGATTTTACAGTATCCTTCCCCTGCCACGCCCACCAAGCCACACGGACAGAACTGGTAGTAGAAAAATTTGAATCCCACCACTGTAGTGGATGTCTATAGATTATGACCAAGAGGATTATTTTTGAAGCCCCATGTTTATGGAGATTCTCAGTCATCCAGGTCATGGTTGTCCCAAAGGTGCTTTTTCAAAAGGCAACTGGACTTTCTTTGTTTTGGGAAGCCCCAGGTTTCTCAAATCTATCAAGTCCTTTGCTCCAAGACTTTTAATCTTCTGTCTGGTTCTTGAACTTTGGCTACTTTTATTCTAAGCAGTCTCGGGTGGTTAAGGATATGGTGGTACTTGATACCGAATATAAATTGCCCTTACACACTGACAATGTTACAGCAATTCAATACAAATATGCCATGTCATTACCAGAGCAATTTGGTTGTAGAGCAATTTGGTTTATACTCTGATTATACAATTAGTTGGAATAAATCTAATTTGCTGTCTTTAGATATTTATAGACTGCTGCATGAAATCAGGATTTACAATTTGTACAGACCAGTGGTGGGTTGCCCCCGGTAGTAAAACCAGCGGGAGACTCTGCCCACCGCCCCGGATTCATCATAGGCAATCTGCACATGCGCAGAAGCAATCCCGTTGCGAACCAGTAGTAAAGGTAAATAGAACCCATCCCTGGTACAGACTCTATAAATTATTTCGGCTTATGGATGTCTTGAAATATACCTGTAATACAAGATGTTAGATTTAAAATGTCTAAATCTATAGATGCAATTTAAATAGATATAACCCTATAGTTAAAACTTCCTGTAAGCTACTGGGGTAAGATTAATGTTATTATAATGAATATTAATTCAAAATTAATGCCTATTACAGGATGAATTCCAATGTTCATCCCCATTGGATATTTTACCGAGAATAGTAAGTGTATAAAAAAAAAATTACCTGGCTGGCTAAACTTTGAATATTTTTGATCAGTCTGAATTTAACTTATGATGAAGCAGCTTTATCCTTCCAGAATTTTAAGTGTATCATTGGGCTTTTATTTTAATATTGATATTCTTTTGGAATGATGAATATTCCCCTCTCTTGGCCTATTTGGAGAATAAATGTATAGCATCTCTGATGGGTCATTTTTAGGGTCCATGTACACCGAACAGGCTCTTTGCTTCAACTTTGGGAAGCTGCCAGGTATATTTCGTTAATAATAGGTATATGGCTGCATTTTGATCCCATATCACATGAAAACATTGATACTATGCAATATCCCTACTTTGAAAATAGAAGAAACATTTTCTTGGAATGTTTTGGACAAGCAAAGCAAACCCTTAAATCAGTTGATTTCTAATAGTTCCTTCAAAGGCTTCAAGAGATTGTGTTTTGAACATGATTTACCTAAACATTTTCTTGGCAATATTTTCAACTGTACTAATTAAATATGGTCCAGTTACTTTAATGGCTTTTGAAGCAACTGCAATTTTAAGAACCTTAAATGAGGCAAATCGTGGAGAAGAAACTGTGCGGTTACTAGCAGTTGGTACCAACTTTATAACACATAACAAAAAAAGATCTGCAACGCTAGAACAAAACCAATTTAATTTTATAAGAAATTAAACATAAAAGTCAACATTAGTTATAGGTCTTGGAATGAAGAATTGGATTATCCGATTTTGGAGATAATATACTTACAATTTAATAATGAAATGAATTCATTAGAAAATACTATTTATTGGACTCCTCAAATGATGTTTTAAAAGGATGCTCATATGATTTGTGAGGCTGTTGAGAAACCATGGCACAAAGGACCAACTGATTAACCATATGGCAATATTACAATTCTTAGAATTGTCTCCAAACTAAATAGCAGCCATAAAGGATATAAATGTTGATATACAGTAAATTTCTCTAAAAATATATGAAGCATTGGAAATCCAAATAACCAATCACTCAACTGAAACAGGAGAGAGTTTTAAAAATTTACGGTACATGTTACCCCTCTTCCTAATGTTTAGATGTCTTTTTTGTTTCGTGTCTACTTTTCTAGCTCCCAAACATGGTCTATAATGATGTGGTGTAACTTGGACTGATTTAAGATAGTTTCTGAAATGATAAACAAAATGTAATAGTATTGTAAATAAGTAGAAGATCCTTCTTCCCACCCCCACCCCCCAAAAAACCCACAAGAACTATAAAGCACACTTAGACTGCACCTCAACCAATATTTTCTCCTCTATTTTTCCACTCCCACAAACTAAAGCAGATCAAAGCCATTTTTTGCATCTCTTTTTCCCAATTTGAAAAAAAGATTCCAGTTATGTCAGCAAAAATCCATTAAAGCCTCTCCTTCAAACAATGAATTTTCGTTTCTCAAGACATTTACAAATACAGTAAGCTTTTATGTTGGAACACTGAACTTTATTTAAAATGGTGAACATCAACACATTCTGTAACAACAGTTACAGGAGAGACAAATTGGTGCAGAGGGACCCGTGATTAGATAATAATTGCATCAACTGGCCTTTAAGACAGATTTGTCTTAAAGGGCCATGTTTTATTTCATATAAACTATTTTATATGTTTTATTTCATATAAACTAAATTAACTTTCTTAGCTTCCACAAAACACCCTGAGTGTATGATCAGGTGGGTAATCTGAAGATTTAAACTGTCGCAAACTCTCATGTACATCTTTTCCTAGGACTTAAATAAACAATGATGGTTAAACCTTGTACAGGTAGTCCTCGACTTGCAACAGTTCCTTTAGTGAACGTTCTAAGTTACAACAGCACTGAAAAAAGTGACTTATGACCTTTTTTAACACTTATGACCATTGCAGCATCCCCCATGGTCACGGGATTTACATTCAAATGCTTGGCAATTTATGACGGTTGCAGTGTCCTGGGGTCCTGTAACCATCTTTTGCGACTCCTGACAAGAAAAGTCAGTGGGGAAGCCAGATTCACTAAACAACCATGTTACTCATTTAACAACTGCAGTGATTCATTTAATAAATGTGGCAAGAAAAGTCGTAAAATGGGACAAAACACACTTAACCAATTTCTCACTTAGCAACGTAAATCCTGGGCTCAACTGTGATTGTAAGTCGAGGACTGCTTGTAAAACCAGGAGCACAAATATACATACCTTTGAGTAGATGACTCTGAGGAATAAAATGGAGGCACAGCACTTATGTCATGGAATCAAAATATGCAGATTGGGCCTGTGACTCATTAGATCCAAGTACTTGGACAAAATCCACCATGCACATTTTAGGATCAGATGATACACTTCCAGATTTTATTTTCCAATCCTGTACTTTCAACCCATAAATAGGGCATTTATTGAGCCTATGCTAATTAGTAATCTTCGTTTGCTGATTTCTTTATAAAACAACAGTCATACGCTCCCACAGAGAGGGGCTCCTCCGGGTGCCGTCGGCCAAACAATGTCGACTGGCGGCCCCCAGGGGGAGAGCTTTCTCTGTGGGAGCACCTGCCCTCTGGAACGAGCTCCCCCCGGAGATACGGACGATTCTGGATCTACGTACTTTCCGTCGGGCCCTTAAAACTTTTTTATTTCATCAAGCCGGGCTGGCCTAACTCTCCAATGGTGTAATTTTAATTTGAATTTTAAATGGGGGATTTTAACTGTCAGGCCAAATTGCTTACTATAGTTTTAAATTGTTTTTATATTTTGTATTCTATGTTTTTTATCTGTTCACCGCCCTGAGTCCTTCGGGAGAAGGGCGGTATATAAATTTAAATATTAAATTATATTAAAAATTAAATATTTTAAATATTCCTAATTACTGCCTGAAGGTGTTTTTTAGCTATCTGTTGACATTTAATCTTGAGCGATTTACCCATGAGAAAACTTTAGAAGTATCTGTGGGGGATCAAAGAAGCCAAAATGGGGCTTGCAACTTCTTGAAGCCCTGCCTTTTTTTGTTTGTTTGTTTGTTTATTTGTTTGTTTTTAGTTTACAAGCCATCTTAAAAGGGAGGGGTTTAGGAATATGGCTTTCATCTTGATTTTTTGACTCCCTTCCCATGAACATCCCTGGAACACTTAACAAAACTGGAATAACTAACCGCGTTAAAATGCACATATTAACATGCTGAAAGTATCTTCTTTTGCGAATTAACCATAGCCTTACAATTTTCTAAAACACTTGGCCCCTTTTGGTACTTATCAAAACGGCTAAATGTTTATTTCCATTTCACATTTGGAAACTGTTCCTTGAAAATTGATGCAATATAAAACTAACGTGTGATTACAATTCTCATTCAGCCCCTCAACCAAAGAAAGAAATTTAGAAAGAAAGTCAACAATAGAAGAGGGAGGTGGGTGAGTGGACCAAAACTATGAAACTGAACTAAAACTGTATTATTCTTTGCCCATCTGGCTTCCTTGAAAGAAACAAATATGGATAGGTTATACTGATGACAATTTATTCCATTTGCTTGGCATATAATTCAATCATCTCTTCCCATAAAGGAAATCTTGATAGTGTTAGAAGTTACTTTGCTATCGTTTACTGAAATATTATAAAATTATCCTACTGGTGATTTCCATGAGCTCCTTTGGTGTTTTCATTTGATGTTGTTTTGACATACGAAGAAAAGCATCACACTGGGACGATGCCTTTTGTCAAACCTGACCCTTTGCCCCGCCTTCCCAGTGGACGCTGCTGGATCTGAGGACAAGTTACACAAGGACTGTTGTTAAAGTTAAAAGACTCATGGAACAAAGTTGGACGTTCCTCAGAGGAAGTCGAAGAGCTGATCGTCTGCTACTCTTCCTATGAGCCAAACTACTTATTGCTAATGTTATTTGCTTTATGAAACAAATAAAAAGGGGCTTATTTATGCGCAGCTAGCATTTGTTCTGCTAAGAGAAACAAAATAGGGAAAAGAAAAAGAAAAGAAAAATGTCACTGGATTGGCAGGATTACATTTTAATACTGTTAAACCAAAGTTCATAAACTTCCTTTACAATATTCCCTCGCAAAGTCGATCGGGAGCATTTTATTCACCCTACAGGTTTTCTTCAATGCCTGGATTTGCAGCAATTTCCACTGATTCACAGCCCCTTGTCCATATATGATCGTCCCCATCAGCATTCAATCATAAGTCGTGGCTCTTCCTTCTTGAGTAATCAGAGTTCCTCCTGTTTCATTAAAAAAAAACAAACCACAAACATTCAGACTCTATGTAAGTTTTAACTGTTCGACTATCTCCTAAAATAGCAGATTTCCCCTTACATATTTTCAGTTTGGGGTGGCTGAACCTTACACGATGCCCAACAAAGACCCCCATGCCAGATGAGGTCAGGTGTGCTTGGTGACATGGATGTCTACAGAGGGGGCCAGAGGAAAAGAAATAAGATAATGATTCAAATGATGTGATCACAAATAATTGCATAACTACATCATCTGCATGACATCGTGATGCAAGGGTCAAGATGTTGATGTTCTCTTGACTTCTTCTGGATGAAGCTAGAAGTGGATCATGATATCATTTCCCCATTCAGAGGGCAACTGTGTTTTACTCCCAAGGCCCATGAGACTGGCAAATTTAGAAAAGAATAATTGGATTACTGTAAAGATCTTTATAGTTAGCAAGGCAATGTAATAGAATTTTGAAAGTCTGCTAAAGCAGTTCCCCAGATAAATTTAAGATAAATGCCTAGCTTAATTAAGGCAGAGTTACTCTGGGACTCCTTCTCACACTTATTTCCTGCCCTAGGTTGAGATGTCTCTTTTATAATGGCCATTTCTTTTTCCGTGTTCCTAGATGGCCTGCTAGATGTGCCATAATATAATCAGCCACTAGGTAGGTTTCCATGCTGTACTTTGGGGAAAGATACACTTCAGCTACCTCCTTTACTCCAAATGAAAAAAAGCTGATGGAACTGAAGAGCTAGACAGGATGCTAATCCATGATCAGGATAAAAGACAGGATATTCTTAAGGTAAAGGTTCCCCCGCACAGTCGTTTCCAGCTCTAGGAGGCAGCGCTCATCTCAGTTTCTAAGGCGAGGAGCCAGTGCTGTCCGAAGACGTCTCCATGGTCATGTAGCTGGCATGACTCAATGCCAAAGGCGCACGGATCACTGTTACCTTCCCACCGAAGTGGTCCCTATTTTTCTACTTGCATTTTTTACGTGCTTTCGAACTGCTAGGTTGGCAGAAGCTGGGACAAGTAATGGGAGCTCACTCCGTTATGCGGCGCTAGGGATTTGAACCGCTGAACTGCCGACCTTTTGATCGACAAGCTCAGCATCTTAGCCACTGAGCCACTGCATCCCAGGATATTCTTAGACACTTCCTAATTAAGGAAATTGCAAGAATCCTGCAATCACCAAGAGAAGTTCATCAACGCATTCGATTTTTTTAAAAAAAGACATAAAATTTAAAAAAGACGTATTTCAAACTGGAGAAGAATAGTTGGGGGGAAAAGCCAGAAGGGGAAAAAATATAGTACAGGAGGTTAATCTGGTATTTTAGTCAAAAAGAAAAGTTTTTCCATGAAAAGTTTTGCACCTACACTTAGGAAATGTTGACCTCATTGGCCTTTGCAGGAGGGCTCAATAAAATCAAGATTACAGTCATGCAAGCAAAGCCCCGTCCCATTGCCCATTTCTGTGTTGACACACATATAAAAAAAGTGGCATTTTATATAGTTGTGATTGTTACCCTTGACTTATATTTTTATACATTTCTCCCCTCCCGGGACACATCTGAATGCTATATTTTGAGGCATACATAATATCCCCTTACTTACAGAAGGGGAGAGTTTTAAAAAAAAGCAATACGGGCAATTCAGCTTTCATGATAGTGTTGTGTTTGAAATATTACATTAAAGGGCCTGGTGGCTCAGCAGACTGATAGCATTGTGATTAACACCAGCTGTCTGCAATTACTGTAAGCTCGAATCTCACCAAGGCTCAAGGTTGACTCAGCCTTCCATCCTTTCTAAGGTAGGTAAATTGAGGACCCAGTTGTGGGGGCAATAAACTGACTTTGTATAAATATACAAAAGTATGAAGGCTATTGCTTAACGCATTGTAAGCCGCCCTGAGTCTCCGGAGAAGGGCGGCATATAAATCAAATTTTAAAAAAAAAATCAAAATACCCAATATTTTGATCGTAAAACTTCAAATTGCAGAACCGTGATTTCAAGATCAAAGCATTTCTATAAATGATCAGAACCATGTTTTTAGCTTGAAATGCTTAGAATGCAAGACAAGTTGCTTCCCTCTGTCCACTGTTATAATCATCTTTCCATTATGAAAGGTATCACAAATCATATTCAAAAGGTAATAGAAATTGGAATAATAAAAACATACATTTTCTTTGGCTTAACAAGAGCATAGACAGCCTGTTCCAGAGGTGGGTTTCAGCAGGTTCTGACCAGTTCAGAGAACCGTAGCAGAAATTTTGAGTAATTCGGAGAACTGGTAGTAAACATTCTGACTGGCTCCCGCCCCCATCTATTCTCTGCCTCCCAAGTCCCAGCTGATCGGGAGGAAATGGGGATTTTGCAATATCCTTCCCCTGGAGTGGGGAGGGAATGGAGATTTTACAGTATCCTTCCCCTGCTACGCCCAAGCCATGCCACGCCCACCAAGCCACGCCCACAGAACCCGTAGTAAAAGATTTTGAAACCCACCACTGGCCTGTTCGTTGCAGTGGTTAAGGCATCAGGTTAGAAACCAGGAGACTATGCATTCTTGTCCCATCTTAGGCACAAAGCCAGCTAGATGACCTTGGGCCGGTCACTTTCTCTCAGTCTTGGAAGGAGGCAGTGGCAAACCAGTTTTGAAAAACTTTGCCAAGAAACTGCAGAGACTTGTCCAGGTTGCCTCCGAGAATTGGACACAATTAAGCATAAGGTGGGGAAAAAAACACATTTTTCTACAAATTAAGATTAATATGAAAACTAAAATGGTTTCCTTAAACCATGGTATCAGTTTTTTTTAAATACAAACCATGGTTGGGTGAGTAGAGGAGAAATCATAAGCTTGATGTTCGCTCTTACTTGTTCTTTTTGCATTGACATAACTTAGCACAGCCTTTCCAGTCAAGATGCTGTTTAGAAAGGCAGATTTCAGTTGCCCAAATTCTCTAACCAGCATAGCTGTTGATGAGAATTATGAAAGCTGGAAGTCTACAAAACTAGAAAGCTCCCACAATAGGAAGCATGGTTGAGCATGATGTATATTTGTGGTCAATATAAAGAACAACACTGATAAATCAAGAGGGAAAACCATTCCATTATCTCTTAACAAAAAAAAAAAGTTTCATTCACTAGAACACTAATAAAACTGACCTTTTAGGTATTTTAATACTTTAAAAAAATACAAAAACAGAAAACAGAATAACAGTTGGAAGGGACCTTGGAGGTCTTCTAGTCCAACCCCCTGCTTAGGCAGGAAACCCTACACCACTTCAGACAAATGGTTTTCCAATCTCTTCTTAAAAAGTATTGGAGCATTCACAACTTCTGAGGCAAGTTGTTCCACTGGTTAATTGTTCTAACTGTCAGGAAATTTCTCCTTAGTTCTAAGTTGCTTCTCTCCTTGATTAGTTTCCATCCATTGCTTCTTGTCTTGCCCTCAGGTGCTTTGGAGAATAGTTTGACTCCCTCTTCTTTGTGGCAACTCCTGAGATATTGGAACACTGCTATCATGTCTCCCCTAGTCCTTCTTTTCATTAAACTAGACATACCCAGTTCCTGCAACCGTTCTTCATGTTTTAGCCTCCAGTCCCCTAATCATCTTTGTTGCTCTTCTCTGCACTCTTTCTAGAGTCTCCACATCTTTTTTACATCATGGCGAAGATCAGCAAACACCAAGTTTGATGTTTTTCAGCTGGTTCACATGTTATTAGGAGGTCCTCCAAACAAATAAAATACAGATTTATAAACTCATCCTGTACATCTTCCCCAATGCCTTTTCAACCTACATTTTTCCACATCTTCACCATCTGCAGATTCCCAAATGTGTTTAGCATTGAACTGGAGCTCATTGGGAAGCACCTTTAGCCAGTCATGAGTTTGTCTAACCCAGGGATGTCAAATTCAAGGCCCGGGGGCTGGATTTGGCCCGCAGGGTGCTTAGATCTGGCCCGCAGGGCTGCCCTGGAAACAGCAAAGGACCGGCTCACGGTACCTCTGCCAGTGAAATGGAGCTCAGGAAGGCTGTGCAAGGCTCACCCGGGCTCCGTTTTCAGCAGCAAAGGCCTTTTATAGCCTTCTGCAAGCAAAAATGGAGCTTGGAGGGCTGGCGCAATACATGATCTGCCTGGCCTCCATTTTTGGCTGTGATGGCCTCCTGCAGCCCTCCGCCAGTGAAAACGAAGGCCTGGGGAGGCATCATGCTCCGTTTTCGCTGGCTGAGGGCTGCAGGAGGCCATCATGGTTGAAAATGGAGCCTCGACGAGTGACGTCAAACTGGCCACACCCACCCTGGCCAGGCCCCCAACCCACCCAACCCCTGAGATCAAACGCAACCCTGATACGGCCCTCAATGAAATTGAGTTTGACACCCCTGATCTAAGTGATTTGATATTTCAGAGGACAAAGAAGACCAATCTTTCTACTCTGCCAGTTGTTCAGCTGGATTGCTTCTCCCCATTAAAATCCCACCGGTCCACAAAACCAAAAGAAGAAACAGTCTTCAGTTTGTGGCGGTGCAAGCCCAATAAAGCATTTTATTGAGTAAATCCTGAACATATAGTAAATGCCATTAATTCTCTCTTGGAAATGTTTCATCACACTGAGATTTTAGGATGAGGCAGGTTGTCCAAGGAGAAAACAAACAATGGATTTCTTTCTGGGAATGCAAGATTCAGCCATGGCTGAAGCAGGAAGAAAGATTTTTTTTTTTTTAATGTTTTCAAATGGTAGCCAAGAAATTGAGTTCTTAGGATTTTGCACCTTTTACTGCTGGTTTGGTGTTGGAGTAGATTGGGGTGAGATGGCTCATTATTCTGAGGTAAAACATCTTCAGTAAAGGTGTCCTTGTCAGCTCCTCCACTTAATGCCGATATTGTCTACTTTTTCCCCTTTTATATTACTTTTGCTTGACTTTTTTTCCTGCCTCAATGAGGAAGGAAGAAAGAAGAGCATTCCTTAAGAAAAAAATAATTGTGTAAAAGAAGCTCAATTATCAATTTCATCACAAAATTATCCAAGAAAGATCAGCCAAGAAGATATCAAACAAATTTCAGACTAGGTCTCAAAAACTGTTTTTCCGCACCAATAGTGGAAATTATTTATTCCTTAATTATTGGCCAGGCAGAGTCAAGCCCTTTTAATTACCATTAATTGCTAAACAAAGCTCCCAGGGCCAGAGGATATATCAATTCTGATCCTACACAAAATGAGGAGCAGAAATAAAAAGAAGTAGCAGTATAGTTTTTGCATTTGTCAAAAGACTTTTTTGGAATCTCAAATCACAAAGCTAATCTTATCACTTCGCCATCCCTTCAGTGATTCCAAATTAAAAAGTACCATGACTCATTACTCTTGTGTTTTTTACTCTTCTTTTTGTTTATATATTGGTTGGTGCTAAGGCATAATGTGCTCTGGGCTCCAGTGTAATACTTGAACCTAACCTCTGTGGATTGTAAACTTTATAAGTGAAGTTATGTTCAATAATTATGGCTTTGTGTGATGTGTGAATGCCATCTTGATTTACTACCTGAGAAGCAGGCATGGTTCCTACTAAATCAGAAGTTATGTCTGCAGCCCAGGGAATTCCTAAAGCTGTTAATTCTAGCTCAAATCTTTGAGAACAGTCCCAAGTAAACAATGGAGGGGCTTTATTGGAAGTTGGAATTTGCAAAACATTTTTTTGTCTGGAAGTGCTTCTGTTTTCTGAATATATGTCAGGCTTGACTTCTGCAGGTTAAAATAGTCCTAGAAAATCAATTAAAGGGGAAAAAAACCCTCTTATTTTAACAGATCATTCACTATCTATCCTCTGGATGTTTAAAGTAGGAAACCAGTAAAAAAATCAATTAACCATGACATACAGTGAAACAATGTTTTACATTGCGTAACTCGGTTATTGTTTATTTATTTTTACTCAAACTTTCTCACAAATGTTTTTTGAAAGGCTTTTCAAAACAGGAAGCTGATTAAAAGATAATATTAAACAGATAGCATCAATCCAGCTCAGCAGCTGACCAGCCTATATACTGAATAAATGAAAGGTTTTTGGCATGTCAGCAGAAAGAGAGTACAAGACAACAAGGACTGAAAGTTGCCAGCATGAAGGCCAATTCTCCGTTCATACAAGACCTTCTCTAGCGGTGGCAGAATTAAGAGAGGGCCCTTCCCTTAAATTCTCACATCTTCCAAGGGTTTTATATAGCGCAATCCACACTTTGAATTGTGTCTGGAAAAAGCACAAGTCAATGAAGCTATTTTAATCAAAAAGTCTTATGCTTTACATGAAAACCCTGCAATGCACTGGATCTGAAGGGAAAAAGTTCTCTAGAACATTTGCAAGGGCACCCATACCAGTCAATGGCAATTCTTTGGTCTTTTCCTGGATGTTGCAGCAGCTATGCATGGCAAATCCACGATCCTCTGAGAAACCACAATTGATTTTAGGAGTAGCTATGTGAGTGCCCAATATTCTCTAAAGCAGGGGTGTCAAACATGATTTCATTGAGGGCCGCATCAGGGTTGTGTTTGACCTTGGAGGGGGGAGTGGTGGGATGGCCATTTGGGCATGGCCAGCTTGATATTACTCATGCCAGGGACACCTGTGGTGGCCTGGTCGGGGCTGGGAGGATCCACTTTTGATATCCTGTTTTCCCCAAAATAAGACATCCCCTGATAATAAACCTAATCGGGCTTTTGAGCACATGGCAATAAGGCCAAGCGCTTATTTCAGAGTTCAAAAAAATATAAGACAGGGTCTTATTTTTGGGGAAACACAGTAGTAGTTTTTGCTAGCCCTCTGCCAGCGAAAAAGGAGCTTGGGAGGGCCCGCCTGAGCTCCATTTTTTCTGGCAGAGGCACCACAGGCCAGTCCTTCGCTGTTTCTAGGGTGGCCCCAAGGGCCTTATCTAAGCACCCCATGGGCTGGATCTGGTCCGCAGGCCTTGAGTTTGACACCCCTGCTCTAAAGCATCTTTTCTCCTTCAAATCCCAAAAGTGATGCAGCCCTATTCATTATGATTACTCCCAATCAGCAATCTGCCGGTAACATTCATAAGACACATGATATTTACGAGAAACAGAATGAGGGAGAAGTTGAAACCCTAAGAACATCACAGGTCAACAATTTCCCAGCATCATTGGAAACATTATCTCTCTAAAGGGATATAAAAGAATCTCATGCAAGTTATCAAAATAGTCATCATACATGAGAACACAAGAGAACAAGGATTTCCAGGGCTTAAAATATGCCAGAGCTGCCAAAAGTGGAATATTGGAAACTAGACAGAAATTATGAAAAATCAGAGGGGATTTATTTGAGAGTTCTTTCCTTGTAATGAAATCTTGGCACCATCTCTTCGAATATGAAGGAAATCACATGATCTTACCCAGAAGAATTTACTAATATCTGTTCCTACTCAGCCAGTCTTGTAGCCACTTTTACAAGCCAAGAAGAGCAAGAGTGAAGCTTCTACTGTCTCATATAAACTTTAGACTCCAATTTTGCCTGAATTCAAGCAATTTGATCTACCAAGTGTTGTATGAATTGTTTACAATAGACTGCTAAGTAGTTTATATCTTGGTCTGGGTATCCAGAATCCAATCGGCTTTTGAACATTGTTGGACAACTTAGTGTAGACAACATAGTGCCTAGGAAAAAAAATGACATATTCACTACAATCTGTGCAACAGCTTGGACCTTAGAATAGGTTCTAGACCATATTCCGTCTGATTCTATTTTTCACTAATGTTGCTCCTGTCATTATCCCACTGCTTTCATTGTTAGTTCTACTGACAGAAGAGGGCACCTAGAAGAGCTCCTGTCCAACAATATCTGATTCAAGAATTCAGCCATTACACCTTTTTTTTTTTTTTTTGGTGCTACAAGTATTCAAAGGTGAACAGGTCTACCTCTATCCATGCAATCTCTTTCAATCAGCTTTATAAAATAAAAGCTGTATCAATAATTTTGGAATCTAAATATCTATTTGCTAATGCATTTGTGTTCCACAACGGTATCCCCTCAGGGCTAGCCACGGTACTATAAACAGGATATTAACTCCATATTAAGAATGAAGCTTTAATCTTGCAAGTCTGGTTTTTTTCCCTCCCCTCATTCTGATATCCTAGTGAGCCAAGGAGGGGCCATCCTCACTCTTTTTCTAACACTGTTTCCTCTCCCAGGACTCAAGCAATGCTTCTATCCTTTTTGTTTTTGTAGTGATTTCTATTTCTCTCCAGGCCATCTCCATGGCTCTCTGCATTGAGGCCACCTGGGCTGTCTGAACTGGGATACTGTCTGGGAGCATTCAACAGTCTATGGTGCTCGTGATTCATACCCTAATTTGTCTCTTCTGATATTATTCCCGAGTAGACAGAGTAGTCTGGATCTTATAGATATGCAATAGCCTAGTAACCTAGATTTTTAACTTTCTTACTCGTTTCAACAATTTAGGATGTCCTTCACTTTTTGTCAACTTTCCCCGTAACTTCTCCAAACATAAGACCCCTTTTTAGTGTCTCCATGACTCAGTGGTCCCATAAATCAAGAAATGTCTAGCAATCTATTTTTAGATTGTTTGATCTATACTTGGTTTTATTTGGAATAGAAAGTCTATGTGGGAACCTGAAAGTTAAGTGTAATAAAAGGGAAATGACCTTACAGAACAAACTCTGGTCTTTCAGCAAGCTTCAGGGCCTCATGCATGCCTGCAGCCGAGAGTTTACGGTTGATGTTCCTATATCTACATTGCAGCAGATTGCGGTAGGTGGTCCTCAGGTCCCGATTGAAGAAGGCATATATAAATGGATTAATCAAAGAGTTGGCATAACCCAACCAGAGAAATGTCCTCTCAACCCACAAAGGGATACAGCTGCAAGAGGTCCCACAGATGAAGGGTCTAGCAGTAGAAAGGATGAAAAATGGCAGCCAGCATACAGTAAAGGCCCCTACAATTATTCCAAGGGTAGTGGCTGCTTTTTGCTCCCTTTTGAAGATAGAAATGTTCTTCCGTTCATGCTTAAGCAGACGTGAAAAATTGGTGCACTCTTCAGATTCCTTGTGCAGTTTCATGATGCCGTTTGCCGAAACCATCCCTTCGTGTTCGTTGGGTCTTGGGAAACCAGCAAATTTGTGTTTGGCTGCACTTTTCTTGGCAGCTTTGTAGATCTGATAGTACATGAACAGCATCACTGACATGGGGATGTAAAATGCAACAGCAGTAGAATAAATTGTGTAGCCAAAATCTTGGCTGATTAAACAGACTTTGTTGTCATTAATATTCTGAGCCCATCCAAACAGCGGGGGCAAAGTGATGGAAGCAGACAGCAGCCACACGCAAAAAATCATTTTAGCCATACACTTTCCATTTTGTCTTACAGGATAGGTGAGGGGTCTAGTTATGCCAAGATACCTAGAAAGATAAAAACAAACACCAAGGATTAGTCTATGTTCATTGTTGGTTTGTGGTCTAGAACCATTTATGCTCCACATGGTGAGCTGGACAAATCATAATTTGATCAACTGATAAATCTTTCTCACATGCGGGTATGCACACACGTGTTCCAAAATAGCACACTTCTTTAAACACACACAGTTTCTAAATTATCAGACTACAGAGTACAAACTGCCTAATCGGAATTCTATCCTTCAGCCTGATGTTCCCCAATTACAAATGTAGAAGGAACCGCGTCAGCAGTGAAATGCACTTACCTTCGCTGCCGGTTCAGGAATGTAAGCGTGTGCGCACACGCGCGACTGTAGTGAGAGCCTTCTCTGCATGCGCAGAGGGTAAAAAATGGGATGTAATGACATCCTGGCAGGTGGGTGGAGCTTCCCGCCGCCATCACTACAGGTTCGCACGAGCCGGATAGATCCGGATGGATTTCACTGCTGAACCGAATGCTCCACAGAGAGTGCTCTCTTATGCTATGGTCAGCATGGATTCAAAGCTCTATCAATATTTCTGGAGTAAGAAATTACACCCTACTTTGCAGGATTGTTTTTTAAAAGGTCAAAGCTGGTAATTTTTTTATTTACAGGAATGCCCACATCGGCCACATACACATCTCTAGAAATTAAAAAAGGGGAGTGGCTGCAGTTCTGTGCCTTGTTTAAAAATAGCAATAGCAATAGCACTTAGACTTATATACCACTTATAGTGCTTTACAGCCTCTCTAAGCGGTTTACAGAGTCAGCATGTTGCCCCCAACAATCTGGGTCCTAATTTACCGACTTTGGAAGGATAGAAGGCTAAGTCAACCCTGAGCTGGTGAGAATTGACCTGCTGCAGGCAGTTAGCCTGCAAAATTGCCTTTTAACCACTGTGCTACCATGGTTCATAATATAATACATCTCTAGAAATTAAAAATGGGGAGTGGCTGCAGCTCTGTACCTTGTTTGAAAATAATAATAGCACTTAGACTTATATATCGCTTCACAGTGCTGGGCCTACCTCTTCCCCCTCCTACCATGAAGGAAAAGGAAAAAGAAAAGAAAGAAAAGAAAAAAGATAAGATTGTTGTGAGCATTCAAAGAAGCCTTAGGGAGAATACCAATCTCTCCCCCTCCCAATTTGCTTTCTGGTAAATGGAGGTTGGTGCTTTTTTCATGTCCATCATGGAAAGCATTTTATGAGGGTGACCAGAACATGCTCTTAACAAACCCAATTTTCTCCCCAGTCTGCATCTGATTGTGTTATCTGTTTTCAACTTATGAATGACTTTTGGCTTCCTTCATAGCAATGGGAAGTATTTCATTAGTAGAAAACTGGTTCTGCAAGCAACAAGTCCAAGCTTCTTTTTCTTCTTCCCTAATAAATTGGAAAATTGCTACTGAGATCCTGGATACTCCCAGTCATTGTCAAAGCTGTGGTGGATGAAACAGAGATTGACAGTCATAAAATGGCATTCTGTCCTATTACTGGGCAATCCTGGCATTGACTCTATTTCCTTAAAATAGCTATGAACTGCTTACACCGAGTTGTTTGTAGGGACAGAAACTGTAATGGCTATTTCCCAATCACAATACAATACATTTATGTGCCATCCTTTGACAAACATGGTATAAGTTATTAGTCTTTTGCAATGATCATAACACTAATAATAACATTCCATAATGAAGCATTTCTACAGTGTTTTCAGTACATAGATTGCTTAACAGTTCATAACTCTGGAACATACACAAGGCTGATCAAAGGATACCTTTAAGTCCTCAACCCATTGTGAAATGATCCCATCCTGGACTGAAATTAGCATCTATTCTGATGTCAGGCAAACAATGATGTCCAACAGGAAGTAGAAACAGGGGCTACTAACACTCTAACCAGAGCCAAGAGTGAGTTGAGTGCATGGATGTCAACTCCAGAGTAGGAAATCAAAATCATGAATAGAGTAGAATAGAGTACGGTAGGCTAGGGTAGGGTAGGGTAGGGTAGGGTAGAGGACAATAGAATAGAATAGAATAGAATAGAATAGAATAGAATAGAATAGAATAGAATAGAACAATAACTTTATTGTCACTTTGAACGTACATTGGCATACATTAAAATGAAATTTTGTTGCATACAGCTCTCAAAGGCTCACCACCTCCAATATATACTACATAACCATGACAGAATAAATAAATAAATACAAAATTATGCATATACCCACATATATTATGTGACAGAGAGAAACAACACAGTCTAGTTCGGATGTGTACATGTACGTGGCGAGAAAAACGAATCTTGCGAGTTTACCAGATGGATGGCATAGGGAACAAAGCTGTTACAGAATCTGGTAGTCCTGCTAGAAATACTTTGAAACCTCCTCCCAGAAGGGAGCAACAGAAACAGACCGTAAAGTGATTGTGTGGGTCTCTAACAATGCTTTGCGCGCTAAGCATATAGCGCTTATAAGCAGCATCCTAAATGACAGGAAGTGAGTTTCCCATAATACTCTCGGCTGTCCCTACCACTCTCTGAATGGACTTTCTCTCTGAGGCACTGCAGCCACCAAACCAAACAGTGATATGCAGTTTGTTAAAAAAAATACTCTCAATCATGCCTCTGTAAAAAGTGGCCAGGACAGAAGGAGAAAGATGTGCTCTCCGATGCAGGAAATACAGATGCTGGTTTGTACACTTCACTAAGGATCACATGAGGAGAGACCAGTTTAGATTGTTAGTTATCTGCACCCCCAGATACTTAATACTGTTGACCACATTTACAACTGCATAATACTATGAAATAATACTATGTTTATTATAAGGTAACAGTAACAGATTCTTGCAAGTCTGAATCTGACTTTCCTTGTCTTCCCATTTATCTTTGTGAGAACTAGAAAAGGTTTTGTCTGAGATATTTTCTGATATTACCTTTCTGCCTCAGACACAGATTTCCTTTATCTAGTTGTTGTCTTGGTCTTTCTCCTGTCCCTCAAGGTCATTCCTTCTTCTGATTACAATAGGTTACCATCAGATAGCAGCACTCAGTGCTCTGTGACTTCATTGCCAATCATGAATTCTGGTCATTTCTTCTTGCTACCAATAGGTTTCTTTTAACTGTTTTCTATTTTGCTATCTATCTCAATATGATAACACTTAGATTTATATCACACTTAGACTTATATACTGCTTCATAGTGCTTTACAACCCCCTCTGAGAAGTATACAGAGTCAGAATATTGCCCCCAACAATCTGTGCCCTCATTTTACTGACCACAGATGGATGGAAGGCTGGATCAATGTTGAGCTGGTCAGGATTGAATTGCTGGCAGTCGGCAGACTTAGTCTGCAATATTGCATTGTAACCACTGTGCCACCATGGTTCATCCAATTCTGGTGCAAAGAAGATCCCAATTCAGCAGAGATTTGAACCAAAGATTTTAGTAATTAAGCCTAATGTCTCATCCTAAAACTAATGGCTTAGGACCTGGGTACCTACGAGACCACCTTCTGCAATCAATAACCTCCCACCAACCAGCACACTCCCACAGGGTGGATCTCCTCAGGGTGCCGTCACTAAAGCAATGTTGACTGGTGGTTTCCAGAGAAAGAGCCTTCGTACTTTCCGTTGTGCACTTAAGACCTTTCTGTTTCACCAAGCCGGGCTGGCATAAATCTCTTCTAATTGTTCTAAATCTTTATGCTGAAGATTCTTAACCGATGAACCAAATTGGCTTAATCATCTTATATTCACATTTTATATGTATGTTATTTTATCTGTTCACCGCCCTGAGTCCTTCGGGAGAAGGGCGGTATAAAAATTAATTAATTAATTAATTAATTAATTAATTAATTAATTGGTTAATTAATTAATTAATTAAATAAATAAATAAATAAATAATACTAATCTAGATTCAACCCACACCCAACTTTCTTCCTGGACCTTAGAAATTAAACTTGATTTATTGGTCTTGATCAGTCATAGATTTAACCTGTTTCTGAATTCTTTCCTTCCTCTCCAAAATAAACTTAAGTTCTGATTAGAGCATTTTCCCAAAACCAAAGTAAGGGAGAAGAGCTCATTTATTTTATTCTTAATAATCAAAATAATTATCTGATCAGCATACTATTAATGCTCTTTCGATATTGAATGCCATGTACTATGGTACTCAGCTACATTGAAATACAAACTTAAAACAGGAAATATTACCTAACACTTGAAAATAGCAATATGCAAGAAGCATGAGAAACTTGCTGTTATGTGCACATTATTTATTTCTGATTGGAGTTCTTGAGAATGCAAAGTCAACAGCCACTTAATTCTGACTCAGTAGTTAGAACTGAAACAGCAACGTTTACGCTGGCTTGGGCATGTCATGAGAATGGCTGATGGTCGGATTCCGAAAGATCTCCTGTATGGAGAACTAGTGCAAGGAAAGTACCTTAGAGGGAGACCACAGTTGTGATATAAGGATATCTGCAAGAGGGATCTAAAGGCCTTGGGAATGGACATTAATGACTGGGAAACTTTGACCTCTGATCGTTCGGCTTGGAGGCTAAACATGCAGCATGGCCTTCTCCAATTCGAAGAGACACTTGTACGGCAGGCTGAGGCAAAGAGGCAGTCCCGGAACCAGCGAAATCTGGGGGCTGGGCAGGGAACGGAATGTATCTGCCCTCAGTGTGGAAGGATTGCCACTCTCAAATTGGCCTTTTTAGTCACACCAAATGCTGTCCTCTTTCCAGAGCACGATACCATAGTCTTTTGAAACTGAAGGTTGCCAATGATGATGAGTTAGAATTATCACTGTTAGTTTTGTTAGTCTCAATACACTTCAGGAAATAACTCCTTTGTTTGTATTGATTTGTGACTCTCTCAGCTTTTTCTTCAAAATGTTTCATCCATTGCTTTCAAATGAGAATAGGAGAGCTGCGGTCCTCCAGATGCTAGATGACCAGCGTCCAGATTTCATAGGAAATTCAGATTTCA